ACACACATATCCTCCGCATGTCAACAGAAAGACATCCATATTCATATTTTTCCAACCAACAACACTCTACACCACTACCAACAGTTCCATATCGGACGTTTTTCCACTATGCCAACAATTGCCATACACTGTAAACTCACAATCATAATATCAACATAACATGCCACACTCATATACAATCACACATCATATGAAATACATATTCGGCTGACGAACAGTAACAATTATTTCACTGCAGGAAATATCTGTTTTGGAGGCGTATTTTTAACGGCGTTTTTTAAAACGGCGTTTTTTAAAACGCCACTGTTCGTAATATTTAACGACGTTTCATAAACGTCGCATTTTTCTCTAATCAAAACGGCGCCGTTTCAAAAATCGAAGACGTTTTTAAACGCCATGGAATGGTTTTTGTCCAACACCCTCATTCTCTCCTGTTTCACCTTTATTTTGAATCTAATAAGTAAGTATAAGCGAAAATCTTACTTTGACTCTCGCGCTCTCACTCTCACTCTCACTCTTGCGCTTTCTTTCTCTCTCGCTCTCTCTGTGCTGTTTAAGACCTTTCAAAATCAAAGTCAGAGCCATTTCGAAGTTCTCTCTCAAAATTGATTCAGATCGGTGATTCATCAAAGCCATTTCGAAGTTCTCTATCAAAATCAATTTAGATCGGTGAGCTACTCTCTCTCTCTCTCTCTCTCTCTCTCTCTGTGTTGTCTAAACCCTAGTTATCTCTGTCAGTTCAGCTCTGTGATTCAAAGATTCAGAGATTTGGTTCGGTCTCAGCGAAACAGATCGGTGATTCATCAGATCCATTTCAAAGTTCTCTCTCGAAATCAAAATTGAAAATCGAAATCGAAATTGAATTTCATCTCAGCGATTCAGATCGGTGAGCTTCATTGTCTCTGTCTCTGTCTCTCTCTCAAGCTAAACTGATATTGTGCTTGATTTGTGTATGTCAAAACTTTGATTTATAGCTTGCTCTGCACCCTTTGATTTCAATTTTACTCACAATTCACTTGAATTTGTTGTTGCTTTGATTTTACAAGCTGATTTGTGCTTTTTTCATTTCAATTTCTTGACAAGTTTAGAGTAAAATTTAGACTAGGTCTGACTTGAATTTAGGTTTTTTATTATTATTATTTATTTATCAAAAGATCAGATCTCCTTTGTTCTTCAAGCATAAGCAACTAGATTTAGATGAGGATCGATTAAGTGTATTTATGGTTTGTAGAATTATATGGGGAACACTTGTGTTGGACCAAGTTTTTCAAAGAATGCTTTCATCCAATCGATTTCAAACACATTCTATATCCTTGTCCAAATGCCAAGTACATAACCCTATGGCTATCCTCAATAAGATAGTAGCATTGACCACATGCGCATGTTTAGTGTAGTTTTTGTTCAGAAAATAAAACTTAATTGTTCTAAAAAATAAATAAATAGTACTTAATAATAAGATTTTTTTTTCCAGCTTATTAAAATTAGTTTTTAAAGCCACACCAATCATTCTGACACAAATTTTCAAAATAAAAAATTATTAACTTCTATAAACTGCACTAAACAAGCATATAAAGAATTATAAAGCTAACGTTTAGGATCATCCACTCAAATCAACTATGCCAGAACTTATCAATCAACAATCAAACTTAAGAGAAGGATTACATAAAATTCTTTTCCATTTCTTATTTTCTGTATTGAAGCTTCCAATCTTTATGCAATTACAAATAGATCCACAATCCAAGTAATAACAACAGTATCTTGTTGTGCAAGGATGAATGCAGACAATGTGTGTGAGCCTTTACATTCCTAGACTTTTCCTAATTTCAGTGGACGATATGTCCATGTGAAACCTCTCTGACGGTATTGAGATAAACATGTCTTTCAACTCCTCTGGAATGTCAAAATCTTCAAGAACATGTAGAAATTCAATATATGATGAAGTTTCTCAATTTTTCGAAGATATGAAACATGAAAAAAGGGTGCCTTCATAGGCTTTTGGCATGTGGACAAACCTTAAAAACCCCGTCGACATTTCGACCACCCACGAGGAAAATAGTTCTTGCTCAGAAAGGGCTCATCCATGTTCCCTGATGCACGCTGCTTCAACTCTTGCAACTATATGTCGGTTTTATAATTAGTAATAAAACTATTATATCAAAAATAAATTTTATAGCCAAACAAGCACATTGACAATTATTCCAATTTTACTTCAACAAGAAAACTGCTAATAAATATGGAAACATTGGTACGGATGAGTAAGAAGAACCAATATTCCAAACTATGGACTATTAGAGGCACATACATGCAATAGTATAAAAAAGCTTGATGAGATAGCTTAGACAAGTAAAAGAGTTTCTCAACTTTTTAATTTCACTTCCAACCCTTCCATAGGAACAAAAATCATTCCATAGGAACAAAAGATGAAAATTGAGAGGACAGACATAGTTGATGGCAATAAAATTGCATAGAGCTAATTATGGGGTAGCTAATCGGAATATAGGGATTAATCATATAATTCTCAAACATTATAGAGATCATCAAAACCTAATTATCAAGCTTATATTATTATGTTAATTATGTTGATTTTACAGTAGGATGTCATCTACTCCATGTTGAATTGCTTTGCTGAATAATTTGATGTTTATGCTACGTGATTAAACCATTTCTTCCAAAAATATATATAATTATGTATAAAATATAATTTGAGAGAGTGTAGGACACAATTAACTTCATTTGGAGGGTTATTTGACCCAAAATAAATAAATAAATAAATAATCATCTAGCTAGCATGTGAAAGAATTGTCTTGCATGTAACTTTGTCTTGATTTGTAGTATTATATGGTGAAGTTTGGTCTTCAATTCAAACAAGTTTTCTTCATAGTTATTAACGTTAATAACTATGATTGTGATTGTGATTGTGATTGTGATTCCTCAACTAATATGATTGTGATTGCGATTGTGAATGTGATTCCTCATTTGGTGGTTGCTCTTTGGTGTTTTCTGAATCATCATCATCATTATCATCATTAGAAGTATTCGAGCTTTGGTACACTTATTGGTTTGGGTAGTGGGTTTGAACTTCCCACATCCATGAGTTCTTGCCAAAATTATTCCATTATTGATTGATTTGAGAGAGCAATGTATTTCTTGAATCTATCATAATCTATCAAGAGCATTGTAGAAACTTTTGGTTTCTTCATTAATATGCTTCATACTAGATATGCTTCTAGTATGCTTGATAGTACCAATTTAGATTGCACCACCGGGAAGAAGAAGACATTACATCATAGAACAGGCCGAAAGCCTTTCTCAGTAGTTCGACTGGAGGTATAATTATTCTCTCAAAGTTTGCTTACACTGTCTCAAAGTTTGTTAATTTTTTATCACATCTTAAATAAATTTCAGTTGACTTGCCATCATCATCCCTATTGCTTCATTTTCCAAGCACCTGCATCAATTATGCATATATGTACTGAAAGGAACTGCATAACGTGTGTGTGTGTGTTGGGAGGGGTGGTGGTGGTTTGTGACAATGTGAATCCTCTACACAACCTTTCTGCACTGTTAGAGGTCACATACATTCTACTTTATATCATAAATAATAGTATTCTTGGAAAGAGAAATCCTACCATCTAGTGACGAATGACAGAGCTGGCTGTCCAACCACATATTTTTTAAAGTTTGTAAAACAATTTTCATAATCCAGTGCCTGAAAGTAGCTAATCAGCTGGCTTCCTTTTTTGCATTCATATTAATATACTTGATTTCAAAATGACTCAAATGTGTTTTTTTACCAATTTCCTTTTCTGATGTGCAATTTTCAAACGAAGATGGAGTTTTTAAAATTTTGGATTCTCCTCTTATATAAACATATTCACATCTCATAGCGACAATTTGTAGATTAAATGGACAATATGGGATTCTGTTTTTAATAGGATTCAGGACCTCACATGGTAAGTGTTGTTTTGATATGCTACTGCCTATTTCCTTTTTTTGGGAAACTGATTCATGAAATCTCATCGAGTGTAGGGCTTATTCGAATCTGTTTTAATCTACCAGGTTTATATTTTAGGAATTATTAATCCAATAATTTGAGAATTGGAAATCACTTGTTGGACTGAGAATGAGTCATAAATGGTAATATCATAACACACCATAGTGGCTATTGCTATTATGGAGGGCATATTCTTATTGTACAGATAACTTTATTTGTTTGACCCTTCCATGTTTTCCACAATTTTCAAGCTAGATTTTTCTGCAAGCCTAGTTCCATCACCTTGAAGTTTTTATATTTTGGCTTTATATTATTTTTTGTCTTAATTTTTTTCTCCCTCCACTGTGACAATGGTCAAATAGTAATTGACTACCCAAGTGTTTAGTGTTCAATGAGTTAATTTGCTTAGTTGTTTATTTTATTTACTTAACTTGTTTACATATTTAATTGTTTAATTATTTAATTTTCTTAAGATTTTGGTTGTCTTTCATTTATAGGAGACAAAAAAGAACAATGGGGTTCCTACTAGTTGGTCACAAGTATGGATGGCCGCATACATGAAAAATGGGACGTCAACTAGTGATTCAGTTAATGAGGTTATGGTATGTGATACTATTTTATCTTTGGACTTTTAATATGATTTATATTTATATTGGAGGCTAATTATTGAATTCAAACTTGCAGACTCAAATGAATGAGTTAACAGAGCACATGGAGGGATCTTCTACTGACCCTGCAGCATTACAGGAGCAAATCTTCACACAAGTTATGGGCCCAGAGCGACTTGGCCGTGTTCGGACGTTTGGATTGGGACCGTCACCCACTGATGTTTTTGGAGGTGGATATAGGCAGTCACAAGAGCAGAATCGTCTCTTCCAAACTCAAGTTCAGGAACAAGTTCAAGAGCAACCTCAACGGTATCAAATGCAGTTCGAGTCGAAGATGAATGAAGTAATGGAGAAACAAATTCAGGCTATACGCACAAATTTTCAGTCACGAATTCAGTTTTTGGAATCTTAATTGCAAGCTACAGGCGTGCCCGTTGATCCAGTTGTTGCACCATCAAACCCATTACATAGGCAGCAGGTATTTTAATTATTTTTACTAGTTATTACTTTAAATTGCCTAGAGCTAATATACAACTTAAGCCTCTTATTGAATGATAGGTTGTGGATTCACTTAGTAGTCATCCCACTGTTCGGCCAATGTCACATCAACAACAATCTCATGCATTTTCATCCCAAGAGGTGAGCAATCATTTAATCAAAGCTTTTCTGACAAATAACATATCTTATTAATTACAATACTTGCTCTTATTAAATATAGGTTCACCTTTCAAAGAAAGAGAAGAAGAAGAAGAAGAAGAAGAAGAAGAAGAAGAAGAACTAACAAGGTAAAAGTACTAATATCACTAGTTCGTGGTTTATGTTCATTTGATTTGTAAGGCATTGTTGGTTATGAAATTAGGGTTTTGGTTGTTACTGTTGTGACTAGTGACTAAATTTGGGTACTTTTGAAGATGGCAAATTGACAATCTTTGTTAATGTATTCAATATTTGATTTTGTTTTGTGTACTTTCCTATTCTGTGATATTTTTCTTTTTTTTTTTTGGTTCATGTATTTACATGAATATATTTGGGTCGTGATTTTAGCATTGTGAAAGGGAAGCTGTAGAACAGCAGCTTAGTTATTTGAACGAGCCATCAGTTCTTCACAACCTTCAGTATAGATATTGTCATGATATTATTTATGTATGCATGATTGTGATACTTAATTTCCCTCCCATCAAATTAAGTTTCCTTTTCCTTTCATTTGACCTATGTTGTGCTTGTTTCCTGTATAGTAAAGCAGGACCTGTTTTAATAGCAATCAATCCCTTCAAAGATGTCCATTGTTTTGGAAATGATTTTATCACAGCTTACAAGGAGAAGCTTTTTGACAATCCTCATGTTTTTGCTATAGCAGATATTGCCTATAACAAAATGATGAGAGGTGAGTTAAATAGTACTTGCAGGGATTTTGAAGAAAAAAACAGGGCTCATATTCATCTATTCATACTTTGCTACTAAAGAATTTGTTTTGCTGACTCTACTCTTATCATGGATCATGCAGATGAAGTGAATCAATCCATCATCATAGGGTTAGTTGAATTGTCTTATGGATTTGTTGAATTGTTTTATGGGAAACTCTGGATTTTAAACTGTGAACTCAAGGGGTTTCAAAAATGTAAAATAAAAGATGTATGGCACCACTAGGGTGATAGGGCCATAAATCTGTGGGAAGAATGGAGGCGGGAATATATATATTCCTTGAGTGTGTTTAGGTTGGAGATAATCTTGTCATTGTTGAAAGTGACAATAAAGTGTTAATATTTTGGGAGAGAGATGGGTACTAATGTTTAGCGTGCTTAATTCTACAAAAGCTTATGTTTGTTTCAATGTGACACTTCTATGGAAGAGCTTTGCCAATAAGTAACTGAATTTGAAGTCTAGAGAATAATTTTAAGTGTTTAAGAAGTTCATTGAATAAACCTACGAGGTAATCCCCAAGTCTAGTTTGAGATATTTTTCTAGGTGAATGAAGTCTAGAGAACTAGTTCTTTGAAACTTGAGTATGCCCTGATTGGGAGGTTGGCCAGATATGTAAAGGAGTATAGCAATCATGTGCATGAACATAGAGCATAAGTATGCTAGTAGAGTTGGTTTACAATTATGACATTCTTTATTTTGTTGCACCTGGGGAGCTTGTTAATTCACAATAAATAGTTCTTTATATGTTGACAATAGTTTGAAAATTGAAACAAAACAGTGTCACTGAGGATAAAAATTCTCTTGACAATGGCTTCTTTATATTCAAATTAAAAATGAAGAAGATATGGGGAAAATTCTCGAAATTGGGCCGTTTTATTTTGGAAGTAGACTAATTTTAGTGAGAAGATGGCAGTTGTACATGCATTTGACTAAGAGTGAATTCTCTTTTGTGCACATTCCGATGAAATTCTATAATATTCCCCTAGAGCTTTGGACAAATGATGGTCTGAGTCATGTGGCTAATGTTATTGGTAAACCTTTGTACCATGATAAGTATGCTGAAGTTCATAGTAGGCTTATTTTTGCAAAATTGCATTGATTTATTTATTTATTTATTTTTCAATTTGTGTTTATTTTGGTGAATCTGATTGTAGTTTATGTTCTAATGCAGGCATGTAGACCAGTGATAACTACAGCTTCTATGCTAAAATATGATTTTTGGATATATGTTAGTTTGTGGTCAACGTTAAAACATGATTTTTGGATTTGGATATGTTATTTTGTGGGTAATGGTGATTGGATATTAATTGAATAAGAAACTGAATTAATGCTTCATTTGTTATTTGAATGGGAGTTATTATTTTATATGTTAGTTTTATTACAGGTATTTGAATGAGAGTTAATATTTTGTATGTTAGTTTTATTACAGGTATTTTTTTTTAATTGAATGAGAAACCAAATTCAATATTTTATTACAGGTATTTTTTTAAATTAATCAAATAAAATTAGCACAATTTCAAAAAAAAAAAAAAAAATTGGATATGACGGCGTTTCTACAAACGCCTCCTAAACCCTAAACACTAACGGTTATATTTTTAAAACAGATACGACGGAATTTTCAAAATGTCGCTAAATATCGTTGGTGACGTCAACGTGTTTATATGAGGACCTTTTGCGGCGTTTTTTAAAACGCCTCCTATACTAATATCACGACGTTTTTAAAACGTCACAAAGCTACAGCGACGGCTGCATCTTCGACGTTTGGTACTAAAAGCCACAAAATGAATTAGCGGCGTTTTTTTATAGATATAGCGGCATTTTTTAAACGCCACTAAAAGTCCAATTTCCAGCAGTGTTTGTACCATACTCGTTAACACATGCACATGTCCACAATTTACCCAACACATTATTACAACCCATTCAGACAAGTCACATTACATAAAGTTGAATTACTCCAAAATCAAAGTTATTCTACTATTGTGTGCCACAAAACAAAAACAAAAATCACAAAAACCACATAAATCAGTCATCATGTCCACAACATATGCAACGAGAAAACAAATGCAAATGACATAAAACACGAACACAAAATAACCAAAACTGTCACACTGATCACGTAATATCTTTCAACCCTCTCTCACGGTCGTTGACAAAACTCTTCACCATGTTCGCACGTAGTATGGCACAGTTATCCCTTTACAACGACCGGGACACATCCACATGGTGGACATACTGATGCATGATGACACAAACTAGTATTGCACAATCCTCCCTGCAAGGTGTGACACATTGAAAACAATAAATTCAGTCAAACCATAAAAGTTCAACACACACTACAATTACAATGATGTGTCCATTGACATTCCATATAACTAATACGTACCAGTCCGGCTTCTGTTGCGGGCAATCCATGACCGACTCCAATGTAGTGTTAGTAACTTGTGTCATATCATCCTCAACCAGTCCAGAAATGGAGTCTTTCTGGATTTCAAGAATGGTGTCCCTTTGTCACACAACCACACACACATTCAACAACCAACACAACATACACCCTCTCCAACAAAAAACAAACAACGTACACATAATAAGTTAAAACTCACCAAAAACATCACTTCACTGAAATGTTTGTCTTCAATCCCAGCTCGGGGCCTCATGGAGTTGTAATGCTTCCATTCGCCTATTTCGGTGTCATAAACCACCAACGTCCAGTGGGATCTAAAACAAATCGGGAAGTGAATGTAACGATAGTCCTTACATGAAGCCAGATTGTCCAAAACAAACCTATCCCTTGCATTGGTGTTGTTGCTCCATAACATATCTTGCAATGTCATCAACCCGACTTCATAATTTTCTCAAAACCCACAACATCATATCCAAAACCAAATAAATAATTAACAACTCACAAGGCATATACTGCTAACAATGTATAACTTATCTGGAAACTCCACCCGAGCAGCCAGGGTTTCTTGTTCCTCCATTAACAACACTGCATACTCATCGATAACCTGCAACATAATGACATGCAATTTAATCATTAAATGCAATTACCACGTGTCCACAATATAATAATATCCCTGTAAATCAATCACTCACATTGCCATGCACTGATGCTGGACGGATGAGTGATTTCAAGTCCGTCAAATAAATGCATACGTCATGTTTACCGCCAACCCCACATCACCGCCCTGTAAACAACAAACCAACCATGTCAACACAACTACATGCACATATCATGTCACAACCAATACATGATAGTTTAACATACTTGTCGCCATATTCTGTGTATGCATTTTTTATCTTCTCTTTTTTCGTCATAGTCATCATTTTTCACACTCCGAATCGATTGTTCATGTCAAACCCGGACCACTGTCGACCTCATGTCTCCACCTCGTCCACATCAATCACATTTTCATCTCGCCCACATTTGACATTAAACCCCATTACTTCCACCACATCACCTTTGTCCATAACGTTCGAGTTCGATATTAATTTCTAGACAGCCTGGTGCTCAAAATCAGGGTGTGTGTGTGTCCTTTTCTCACTTTACTCTTAATTTTCCTCACAAAAGAATTGTTAGACTTATTTATTTTGATGATTTATTTAATTATGTTTTAATTTATTTGAAAGAGAAAAATAGAATCCAAAATTTATTTTGATGATTTATTTAATTATATTTTCATCAAAAAAATTTTTGATGATTTATTTGAAAGACAAAAATAGAATCAAAATTTATTTTGTCTCATTATTTCTCACCTAAACCTTTATCCTAAATGTTGTTAGAATGCATTTAATATTTGATTAAATCAGGAGTTCAAACAGCCCAAAACAAAGGTTCAAATAGCCTAGCACAGCAGCAGGCCAAAAGGTTCAAGTGGAAGATATTCAAATTAGTAATGATAGAAGTACAACGGCTATAAAAGGCTATAAAGATTCAAAAGGCCAAAAGGTTCAAGTGAAAGATATTCAAATTTGTAATGATGGAGGGGAAGATATTCAAATTGGTAATGGTGGAAGTACAACGACTATAAACGGCTATAAATTCAAATGACTACAACGGCTATAAACGGCTATAACTTTCATTATATATACCTAAGCCTCTAATGTAAACAAATTACAACAAAAAAACCTGAAAATATTCTTTGATTTATAATCACTCACATCTATTCTCAGAAAATTATACGATGAGCCTTATAGTTTTAAGCCCATATCTTCTGTGTGAGATTTACAGAAAAAGCAAAGCTTCATTTCATATATCTATCTTTGAGAGATATTTATTATAAGCTTTCTTTAAAAGCAAAAATACTATTTCATCTTGTAAAAGTGTTGCAAACACTGTGTTCTTGAAAT